CGTAGGAGACCAAAGTCCGTAAACCTCATACAAAAAAGTGGGCGTTTTGTATGAAATGTACGGGTTTTAATTAATTTCTTCGGTGTACGGATTTCGGTTCCCAACGGTAACTGGTTTTTAGGATTTCTCATCTTCACCGGAATGCTTCTCACTCCGTTTGTTTAGCAACCAACAACAACAACAACAATGGTGAGAAATTTGCCAACGTAACTTGTTATTGTTGTGCTTCGATATTCAAAACACATTCCGCAAACGGATAAGGCTTGAAATTGCATACACACGTACGACTGGGCTACATGCAGTTCTCATCACATTCCAAATCAAGAAAACATCTCTTCTGCGCAGTTTACGTGCAGGAGCGTTTTTTATTTTTTTGTTCAGATGAGTAGAATCTCGACAACGTGACAATCGACAAGTTAAGGCCGGTGACCTTATCGATACGATTGAATGTCTGTCTACAGTGAGTCCATTCTTTCGTATAACCCAAACAGCTAATGCGACGTAGTAGATTCCTGTTATTGACGGCCACGCGTATTTATGGAAAGTGCGTATTAAACAGAACATTCTGTGTCTGGGCCATGTGTGTAGCTTCATATTAATCACTCGTGGTTCAAACAAATTATTCACCTCATGACGCCGTCGTTACGTAGTGAGAAGCAGAGATAAGTAAAAACGCTTATGAGCACGAACTCTGTCGTCAGGTTTTAATCGTGCCTTGACGGCAACTAGGGTCGCACACGTGTCGATGACATTGTTTTCTGTGATAAAGGAGTTATGAATCATACGCGAGCTATAAATGTGGAACTGGCCTTGGTCCTTTTATTCGGCGTAATGATAGCTCATTTGACAAGATCGGAATCTCTTCTTTTGAATGCGGCGGATGTATCACACCAATTTTAGGCTGCCACTATATGGTTAGTTGACATAAGCATTAAAGGCTCTCCAAAATTTAGTATTCAACTTATTTGTATGACTCATGATCTTTGAAATATGTCGTTAAATTCAGTTTTTAATTGCTTTCGTAACATAGACTGCTAAGTATTACTCTAAAGTGAAATCATCAAATTTGCATATTTAGAATGAATTATGAAATTTTTCAAACTGCATTACACAGTTCACAAACGTTTGTTTATGTTAAAATAGACGCATCATTCTATTTTTTAAGACCGTGCACATCGTAATTGCTACTCCATTATTGATGAAAACTAGTAAAATTGCACAGAGAACCGAACCTTATAGGTGGAGCTTGGGATTAGATTTTCATCTTCAATGTACAACCCAAGCAGCCAACAAGCCCGATAAGGGTCGCTATAGTAATTTAAATCTGATATACGACTGATATAAAATTTGGAATCCCTATATTAACCGGGCTCGTAGCGGGCTTCGCGGTTACTTTGGGAAGTTCACTAATTCATTCTATTTATAGATCAGTACCGACGCCAGCTACATTCTCACGATCTTTGGGGAGGAGAAGGATAATAAGTTCGACAATTGTTACTCGAGACAAAGTTTACCTTGTAACGGAAAGGATGATGGTGTTAGTGGGTAGGGTTTATTTTTAGATCACTGCGTAAACGATGCGGATCAATAATAACGGACGTTCAGAAACGGTAACCACTAAGCTACCTAGGGTCATCTTTAAATAAATACATAAATCAATTCAACAAATTCTTGATTTATTGCAACGCTCTCTGGACTCGTCTCTGTGCTCGGTTTTCAGCAGTGAACTGAGCTTGGATTGCAAACCTTTTCGTGTAGTCCACAATGAGGAGAGTAATACCGGAATGATTTGAGATTTGGGCGTAACTGCTTTTGTAAACAAACATGTCAATCGTCATCGTCGATTTTTCGAGAATTAAAGCTCAATATCGTTAACAAACTATACCAAATGATAGAGAAATGATTCCTCTATCTGGTTGTCCTAATAGTTTTTGATACTGACCTTTTATTCGTAAGAAATCGGCGATTGACTTGTTTGTTTGCAAAAGCAGAATGCGAAAAATGTGGCGCAAAGGAAGTAGGCAAGCATGCAAGCATCATGAGCTCGAAAGCAAGAGAATGTGAGTAAGACGAGCCTTCAACGGTTCGCACAAGAAACAAGTTTCCTGGAATCTGGCCGCATGGCATTCCAAGACCATGTGCGCATCTCTGTGCTCATTCTCAACCCGTTTACTTCATGTTACTAACAGGCAGGCCAAAGCATTTGCGCACACAGCAGCACAGCCCGCTATCAATGAAATAAAGAAGCCATACGGTAGGCAGGTTATTCATTCTTCCGCTCTGAACCTCTTTCTTGGCGCGAAAAACCGCATGTTCATAACCATGCGGAGTGGAGCCTCGGGCGTATGAATCAACATCCATCTAAAGACCTGGGCTTTGTGCCTTGGCTGTGTTTGTATTACTAACGACGGCTGGTCAATTATTTTCAAGATTGGTGAAAATTTGCAATCGACTATGTGCTCACAAACACGTGTTGGTAATTAATGAGAGCTGACATAGACCAATATCTAACATGGATAACTTGATTTCCGGTGAACTATGAACTCATTGATTAACTTCGATCTTAGATAAGTCAATGACTGTTTTTTTTTTCGTATCCAATACTATAACTGAACATTTGCAGCTGATCATGTGAGGTTTGAAGCCATAAATTTCATCGCTGACGTTAGGCATGTTAGTTATTTCAAGCCTTTCAAGTATCTTTCCTGCAGTTGCGAACCAACCTTATACGTGGTTTATTTTCTATCAATTGCGTAAAATAAAATATAACAGTAGGTACATATTTTTTATGCAATAGTCTACCCTAAAAGTACAGTTAACGAGTGCTACAGCGTCAAGCTCTATTTGTTCACCGTGTCAGTAAAATATCAATCGAGCATCGTCCATAAATCATGACGTGCTTGTCTGGTGACATTTAGTCTATGCACGCCCTATTTTTAGATGTATTTTTTTCCGCTATCGATAGATGCAGAAGATTTTTATTTTCGGTTCTTTTTCAACCATGCATTTTATCGAACTTTATCTCTGAGGACTCCGCTGTAGAGGCGCTTGAAATAGATTAGATTAGGATGGGTTGAGTGACTTAATCCTCAGTTATTTTTATATTTACACAACCGAGCATAGCAGAACGCGTAACCATAGCTACGGAGCAGTGAGCAGAGCTCAAAACAGAGAACAACCGAGGCGCGGTTGTTTCCAAGGTAGCTCAAGCATTTGAAATTGACGTAAATATTAGTATCAATCACTAACGGCGGCATTCGCTTGCAATGCGATGATATGGTTGAGTTGTGAGATAGAGTAATCAACAACATGATTCTATTGTAACTCGTCAAACGCATCATCGGTTACGTTGGAGGTAAACACAAAAGTAACGAGACTTTTTTTGTATGAATGACAGATGTGAGTATGCGCTTCAGCATGCACTGTGTAATGTCTACCTTGGATGCATATGGATTAAATTTTATATTATGAGCGACTTCCGGCGAAGCGCTGAGGAGAGTGAGGTGCACCATACGTGTGTTCATCGTATTGATTCTGAAATACAGGGGTCATGTATGTATCGTTATGTGACGATGTGATTGATAATATAGAAGGTATCAGAGCCTTGAAATCAATTAATAAATTATGGAAAGAGGCATCGTGACATAAATATCAATGTTATCGATAGGTATACAATACGGCTAACCTTCTCTAGGAAATAAACAATACTGGTGTACATCGAATTGATTGATGATGGTATTCCGTATAGATAGGCAAAAGAAAGTTATTTCCGAACATATGTTATTGTTTCCATCGATTGGCAGCTGGAAGGAAGGATTATTACTTGCGGTTGATGGGAGGTTTTTGTTGTTTAAGTTCAAAGAAAACACCTCAGTAGCTCAATACACAATGTTTACCTGTTGTTCCGTAATTGCCATGCCAGTGCGAATTACTTGAACTCATATCAGGTGATTCCAAGTGTTAACTACGTTGACAGTGTTAAGTAACATATCGGTCACATTGTGGGCAGCACATAGTGTGCTGTTCGTTACAGAAGGTGTAAATTCGATGCAATCTACCGAATCAAGCCATTGCATATTTAGTCTTCACATTTGCGTGTACGCCCGAGGCTAAGCACACAATCGACACGACACAATCTTGACTTTAAACACCAAAAGCATCAGTTTTATAGCCTTAAATGAAACCAACATTAGCCTACACGCAGAAACATTGATTTTCGTTTCAGGACCTAATGTATTTTGTTATTGATTCATACATATTGTATCACTATTTCAACAAAACATATTTTCGAATCAACAAAATGGTTTTTAGAATCAACAAGCTGATTATTGACTCTACAACCGGTTTGTTGATTCAAAAATATTTTTTCTTTGAACTAACCGAATAATATATTTGAATCAATACCAAACATATATTAGGCCCTAGCCAAAAATATATCCATTTGAATTTAAACATCATTTCTCTGCGTGAAATTCATAATTCACATTACAGTTTCATGTAGATAGGAAATCCACAGGACATAGGACTGTTATGCCATCGTAATATAGAAAAATCTAGTTATAGAATATTAAAGTCACTAGGAAAAAATGCACATTTGGTTTAAGGTTCATATCGAGTAATATCAGCAATATTCTGATCACCATATTACTCGATTTCGATCCAAAGAGGTTTTCCCTGCGTAATCCGCCTGATTTTCCTGGTAACCAATACAACGACAATCATGCAGGGTTTACTGGATCGATGACACGATTCAAAAACTGTTCTAATGCCGCGCAGTTTACAGTGTCCGAGCAAAATTTCAATCTAGCAATGGTCACATGAATATTTTCCACGAACTCACAGCGCAAGATGCGACGGTAGAAACACCCGCTATTTCGAAAGTTTTGTTTTTTATTATTTTGTAGCTCACGACAAAATAAGAAATATACGATGCATAGAAAGCCAAAGAATGTACTCTTTGAAACTAGCCCCCGTTATGTCACACGTTTTGAGAAACTTACTCTTTTCTCGCATTCGAATCCGAACGAACAGAACGTAACCAAACACGGCAACGACGGCGACGGCCACCAAAAACAGCACTTCCAGGGACATTACGCTTGGTTTCTTCACTCAAAATAGGATCACTGAATTATCAATCAAGTGCTAACACTTTTGGCATTTAAAATAAATCTGTATATATCCACTTGAAATATACTTTCACAACTTTTGGTTGAATTTCTATGCACTCGATTTTTATTAGCTTCGTTTCTTCATCGAAAAGCTAACCCAATAGTCTGGAGGAGAGACTCTTTCGATTATATCATCACTCACAATTTTTCGGTATCTTGGTAAGTGACGAGCTTTTGTTAGGATTCACACACTGACTGGCTGTGGCTCGCCGGCTATTGCAAAGGCCGAGAGAAATTCAGCTTTGTTGAGGATGTTGCTAATCGACACACTTTCACGCCGGGTTTCACTTTCTTCCGGGAGTTCGAGTGTCCCCCACGCTGTCGTCACGCGAAGGCCGTCTTCCTTACTAGACAAAGAACCCGCGCACACGAGTTGTGGATTACGACCACGTGGTTCTCGTGGGTTATGCCGTTCTGTATTCCTCAATGCTGTCGAAATGACTAAAGAGAATCACCGTGTCGGAGCTCTCGCTGCCGTTGTGCTCTTCAATGTCTTAGTGTTTAGCTTTTTCAGCTTCTGCCGTTGTTCGAGACAGATATACTATATTTTTATTTATCTTTCGTTCTTTCCTCTCTGTGGCGCTCTCTTGCACAACAAACCGTCGTTGTGTTGAGTAAGGTACGCGGCAGATGAGTGGGACGTGTGAATGTAAAACGACCCAGACGTTCTGCTAGGTGGATATCCTCGTAAAAATTTCATTCATTAAACTTGCAACCAAGCTCGATTTGTGGCGTGTTCTGATTCGATAGATTCTTAGAAAACACGAGTTTGCGCATAACCAGCCTTCTTATGTCCTTGGTATACTCCACTTCGATTTTCCTAGGCTGGTAGATTGTCGTGATGCTTTCTCTATCCTTCCAAACGGTTCACAATGGTGTCCTTAAATTTATTTTGTAGGATACTAGTTTGACGACACGTTTCGGCTAATCGATTCCTTGATATTCGCATGTATTCGAAGTCAATGTTTGCCATCGCTCCTTTCGGAATTGGATTGTGCATTCAATGCAGCAGTGGCTTCAGCAGACAGACGGCTAATCGTTGTGGAAACGAGTCAACTTTCTACTTTCATATGCCCACCACTATAAAAATTAATCCGAATGCAAATGTCGTGCATCAACCGCATCCACAGATTACAGCTACGCTTCCTATGAACACCACAGTGAGACGCGCCAAGTGTAATTTCAGCTCAATTTTAGATCCGCTCACTCTCTTCCTTCTAGTTTGTGCACCGTTCACCACCGCGTATAAAAATCGATTGAATACTTTTTCTTCCACTTTTTTTTCCACATTTAACACGGCTTGATCAACATTCCGGAGGAAAATCTATATTTAACTGCACTCTTTATTTTCTCGTGGCTTGAACAGTTTTTCGACCTTTCTCCAGGCAAACCGCTCACTCCTCTGTTTGAGCACTTTTTTTTTACATGGAGTGGCTCCGTGACAAAACAGAATATTGAACTCAGCAAACCATGCGGTTTCAAATCAAGTGCTCGCTCTGGAAGTTAAATTCCGCCTGCTTCGATTTTTCCTCAACTTCCTCACTATTCAAAGTTTTCGCTCAATGGACAAGCCACAAACCGAAAAAGATCTAAATCGCACTTAACCGTAAAGGCGGAAGAAATACACCGCAAAGAAAAAAACGCGCGCTTCTGGTACTTTGAGCGAGTGGGTGTGACGACCGACGTCGCGGTAGTAGAAGGGGTAAAATGAATCACGAAAGTTACAGACACTTCTGCCCTCGACGAATGCTCCTGACAGACTGAGCACATGCATTGCGCAAAACATCGTCAATATACACTCCTTTAGTCTCTCAAAGCTGCCTGCCTGCGAGCCTGACGACCAAAATGTAAAACCATGCGGCGGAAACTACCGCGGAACCTTACAAATTCTACCAACATCAAGCAATAACGGTACCCACAAAGAGAAAGAGAGCGGACTCGGGAGAACAAAACGTAGCATAAATTGAGAGTACTCTCTGCTTGCTCACTCGGTGCATCGTGATAAGTGAGCAAGGAAAGCAGCACATGGCAGAGCTCGAACCGCGTGATGCTTTGTGTCGGTGAGCCAGTCGGTGAGATTTACTACCTTACATGTAGGTATGTACATGTATGCAGCTGTGGTTTCACGCCTACATTACTAATTTCTGACGACACGGGTATGTTGAGGTAGGCTGGGAAATCCTAAGGTGGTTTTTTCTTCTTCGTTAATCTAGATGTACGTTTTATGAGCAAAAATAAGTAGTTTGAATCAAACCGGTGGGAACTCTTGTAGAAAACTGAATAAGTATTACCTGTTTATATATTTTAGTGGAATAGCACCTGGAAGTTGATACAAATGGGAATTCCCATAGACTATAAAAAGTGAGTAAATAATTGTTATGACAGCCGGTCGGAATGCAAAATATATTCATACGTACTTAAAAATATAAATATATATATATAAACCATTGGAATTATTGAAAAGATACTATAATAATATAATTCTAATAAAATATCTTGACTGGCCATATCCTATGAAATTAAAAGACCTTTCAAATAAGTGCCAAGTAATGAGTTTTATTTTGCAAGGCTTTGAAAACCTTCAAACGAACTTTTGCCGCATTTTATAAAGGATCCATATCCATTGTTGATATTGTAATGGTTGTTCATTACCAGACTAATAATCAAGAAGTTAGCTTTTTACATAACAGTTCATGAAAATATATAGAAGTTTGCTAAATTTACTAGGTGTCTAGATTAGTCGAGAACTTATATTAACTCCACTACCTGGCGAGCACTAAAAAAAGGTCCACTACCATTAAATTACCGAAATATAATGTAAACACAGTCAACTCTTTCCTTAATCGATATTCTGTAACTCAATTTTTTTTCCGTAATTCGATGATTGTCCCTTCAATTTTGCACGCAATGCTCTCTCCCTCTAAGACCGATGTCATAGTGAGAGCGATGAGAAGCGAAGGGGCGAGCAAAGTTATGACACGAATGTAAGGAAAAATATCAATAATGAGAATTCCTATTATTGATATTATTCCTTGCATTATTTTCAGCGCTTCGTTCGCCTCTTCGCTTCGCTTTGTTCTCACTATGGAATTGGCCTAACTCGATATTCCCCTAAAACGGTACCTCCTTTACTTAATGCGTTTTTATTAATTTTTCCATGCATTTTTACCTCTCTAATCAATTTTAATTTTTTTTTTTCGGTGTCTTCAGATAAAGCCGTAGCAGCAAAATTCATTATTGAGAATCAAAATGCTGCTGCATTCTGATTGAGCCGATTTTTTTTATGAATGAATGATTTTTTAAAAGTAAAAAAAAAATCAGAAAGAATATTCCAATTGACTAGAATAAAACGTTAAACATAATTTCGAATTTAAAATCAAAAGCATTGATAAATAGGCAACTAATTTATTGTGTTATGTTGAGGAATTAAGAGCTTGTGATTATATTTTTTCAGATGTTCTGTAACTCGACACCTTTCTAAGTTGATGGTCTCTTGAATATCGAGTAAAGAAGAGTTGACCGTATATGAAAATTTTGCGCAGGATTACGACTAATGAATGTTCTGCTTTAATACTGAGTCACATTTTTAGAGTAGTTGAAATTAGTCACAATCGCGTTGATGTTCATGATGTTCAAAACATATCGTCAAAGAAGTTGGTGTTGAGCAAATGTCTGCATACTTTCTAATCGTATGCGCTATGACTCAAATGGTGACATTGATAATACATTTCTATGTTTCTAATAGTAGCATGATTACAGAGCCTCCCTTAGCTCAGTCGGTAAAAGCGCAGCTACAATAAGCTAATATGCGATAAGGAATAAGCTTGAAATGCGAGGAGGAAGAAGAACAATGTTACAAATCACAATAACATGTTATTTATAATTTAATAAATTTCTAGAGGGTAGCATTTATTTACAGTATATAACGTCAGGAATGGGATTTTTATTATTTATTTGTCATTCTTTCATCTCTGGGGCCTAACAGTATATAGTCTTGTCAAGCAGCATATTTTTGATATAAAAATGGCATTTGTATTGCTGTGAGAACTGTGCAAATCCTACGAATTTATACGCTGCATCTCACGAGCATATTCTATATATATATATATATATACACTCAGGTCTTTTTTTACACGGGGGATACGTACCGTGTAAAAAAAAAACGTGTAAAAAAAAAACCGTGTAAAAAAAACCTACGAGATTTTGATTTTTCGCATGCTTAAATGTTTAAAAAAAATCGGATTTTGATGCCATTTGTAATTAAAGCATGATATGGTCCATATAGACATATTTTAAAAATTTCTGTATTTACACCAAAAATTGTGATTTTTTTTAAGTATGCCATTCGATTACCTATAGCTTGAAACGGATAATGTGATTGGAAGCAAGTCGATAGGTTGTCGAGAAATCGTTAAAAACGTACCGTGTAAATCGTGGAAAACCTTGTAAAAAAAACCGTGTAAAAAAAACCGCGTAAAAAAAACCGTGTAAATATATATATATATATATATATATATATATATATATATATATATATATATATATATATATATATATAAACGATACAGTATATCTCAAAATTGATCGTACATCCTAGAGGACAATTTTTTGAAATATGGTGAATAGATGTATATTTTAAAATCGTGGCTGGTTGTGAACAGATGTTTATTGATTTATTGCTATAGTTTTGGTCTTTATTGGAATAGCCTGTATGAAGTTAGATTTGTCTTAGTAAAACGTTCGATTATTAACTTTTTACCTTGTGAACGAATTTTATTAAAATTAGTGGCATATTAATGATCTTTATTAAGAAAAAAAAATGAGCAAAATTTCGTTCAAAATTACGATCATTTTATTCCAAGAAAATAACGTTTTTCAAGAAAAAGGCGTTTTTCTTAAATTGCTTTAACTTTTGGTAAACTCAACCAAATATGCCCAATATTGAGTCAATTATTGATAAATGTAAGCTGAGTCAGCTGTTAAACATTCAGAGACATATCTTTTTAACTGTGCTTTTAGAGCCGTTTTTCTTAAATTTAAGTATAGCTGTACGATCAATTTTGAGATACACTGTATAGGGGGAATGGGTGTAATGTCGGCCTAAATGACCCTCAAAAAAATTACTCATACATAAATTCAGTAATCGACTAGATTTTCAATATAATACATATACATATACATATATATATATGAAAACCATACCAGCAATTCAAGAAATTTTTATTTAAACGATGTGCCCACTTCAACGGAAACTGATTTATAAGTAATAAACATTTAACGATATTTTCATCAAACATTGAATCATGCTATCGACTATTTTATTATATAATATACCTAGCTATGACTTTGATACGAAACTTTGAATTTACGTAGTTTTGTCTAGATGAGTTATTTTTTTTAGATTTCTTGACTTCGGTATTCGGTAATATTCGGTAAAGTTTGAAGGAAATTATAATATTCTAATCATTAAATTTACGAAATCTGTTTAAAAAAATGCAGTACGCACTGTAAGAAGAAGGAAATGAAGTAATGAAATTGGGTTGTTAGCGGAATGCTTAAATAAAACAGCAAAAAAGGTTATCTTCTATTTAATTCCACTTAATTAATTTCGGTATCCACAACAGATACGTATTTCGACTACAATGTGCAGTCTTCATCAGTGTCATTCCCACTTGGGGGAATGACACTGATGAAGACTGCACATTGTAGTCGAAATACGTATCTGTCGTGGATACCGAAATTAATTAAGTGGAATTAAATGGAAGATAACCTTTTTACCTGTTTTATAAGAAGGAAATGCTGAATTCCAAACTCGTTTACCGACCCTCTGTAAATTGGTTCAGCCTGTCAAATGGTGGACATGTTTATAGATATATCAAGTGTAGAAGTTAGCAAAAGCGTGACCTGTGCACAAAACCGGAAAGTTTCGAGGAAAATCTTGAGAAAACACCAATATGTTCCATAATCGCGATTGTTTTTCAGACACTACCAGCGATAGCTAGGTCTTTCTGCGATCAGTTTGCAGGCCTGCAACTGTTGAAAGTTCGGTAAAAACTTACCGAATACGGTAATGTGTAAGTGTGCTAAGTGTGTAGTAAGTGAAATTTGACTGTATTACACACACGATTTATTCATCCATAAACGTTGTGGGTTTGATCCATGCAAATGAAGATGTATTATAAACTTTCCATAAACCATCAAATTAGTACCGTAAAAGATTAGGAATTAATGGTTTGGAAGAAATTTTATCATCAAACATCAAACTTTATTGTATTCACTAGGTGACTCATCGAATGGATCTAAATACATAATACACATGGCGAAGTGGTCATAAATACATTCCTGATTATCTTTTACCTCGTGCTAAACTCAGATTAAAGATCTGAACAAATATCTTGGTATTCTTTGGCGGTGTGACTATATGAAATCACCCGGCAATCATTCCATTACTCGCTCAGGTAACAGTCAAACACCAAACATGAACCGATAAGACCCGGTGCCATTCGAGGTGTTTGTTGTGGAGACATAGGGAGAAATGTGATGACTTGAGCTGCTATCAACGTTAGCTTTCAGTAAACTACTTCCGCGGTGAAGGTTAAACGATGGAACGTGTCAGCGCCTTTGTTGGGCGATCTGAATAATAGGTACATATTACCTACATGGGCACACGTTCGTTACTACGTCGCTGATAAGATGCTTATCGCTATCGTTACAATCGGCGACGCCACTGTTTTGCATCATCCAAAACATCCGTGTTTTGCTCACGTCGTTGAATCTTTTCAAGGAAAGCTGTCATT